CACAGACTATAACTATATATAAATTGTCATTTCGGATCCCTGTACCACTGTCACAGACTATAACTATATATAAATTGTCATTTCGGATCCCTGTACCACTGTCACAGACTATAACTATATATCAGTTGTCATTTAGGATCCCCGTACCACTGCCAAAGACTATAACTGTATATCAATTGTCATTTCGGATCCCCATATCACTGCCACAGACTATAACTATATATAAATTATCATTTCGGATCCCTGTACCACTGTCACAGACTATAACTATATATAAATTGTCATTTCGGATCCCTGTACCACTGTCACAGACTATAACTATATATAAATTGTCATTTCGGATCCCTGTACCACTGTCACAGACTATAACTATATATAAATTGTCATTTCGGATCCCTGTACCACTGTCACAGACTATAACTATATATAAATTGTCATTTCGGATCCCTGTACCACTGTCACAGACTATAACTATATATAAATTGTCATTTCGGATCCCTGTACCACTGTCACAGACTATAACTATATATAAATTGTCATTTCGGATCCCTGTACCACTGTCACAGACTATAACTATATATAAATTGTCATTTCGGATCCCTGTACCACTGTCACAGACTATAACTATATATCAATTGCACTATAACTATATATAAATTGTCATTTCGGATCCCTGAACCACTGTCACAGACTATAATTATATATCAATTGCCATTAAGGATCCCGGTACCACTGCCACGGACTATAACTATATATCAATTGTCATCAAGGATCCCCGTACCACTGCCACAGACTATAACTATATTTAAATTGTCATTATGGATCCCCGTACCACTGCCATATACTATAAATATATATCAGTTGTCATTAAGGGTCCCTGTACCACTGACATAGACTATATCTATATATCAGTTGTCATTAAGGATCCCTGTACCACTGCCACAGACTATAACTATATTTAAATTGTCATTAAGGCTACCTGTACCACTGTCCAGACTGTAACTATACGTAAATTGTCATTAAGGATCCTTGTACCACTGCCATAGACTATAACTATATATAAATTGTCATTAAGGTTACCTGTACCACTGTCACAGACTGTAACTATACATAAATTGTCACTAAGGATCCTTGTACCACTGTCACAGAATGTGGCTATATATAAGTTGTCATTATGGATCTCCGGTGAACTGCCACAGACTGTGGCTATATATGAAATTGTTATTAAGGATCTCGGTGCAACATCCATAGAAGTAAAATACATTTAAATTATCTTAATGACTAGGCAATTTGTTTTAACTCATTCGGTGAAAAAAACATACATTACGGAGGTTTTGTTTACATAAAAAAGATGAAATAGGAAAAAAAAAGAGAAATGTTTTCAATGAAGATTTGCAAACAGGTAAGACAAAGAATCGATCCCTAGATATCGATCATTATGTTGTAGCTAACGAAATTTATGTGAGGTCACTTCAGTACTAAAAAAGGAGTGTGATCTCTTTAGCGTTTCCTATGTAGTGGGATAGAGTTCCAGGTTTTAACATTTCCTTTACTACCATGCAAGTCCGGGTGTTTTACGAAAATATCTTTAGCTCAATATAAAATTGAAATTGAACATTATCATTTGGATTCACCTCACTGATGCGACTGGTAATATTTTGTACCTGGTTCCCGCAAACTTAGGCGTAAACAAGTAACAGAATGGTTTGATAGCGATAAAATATTTATTTTACGAAACACTTTGTGATGACTTCACATTTGGTTATAAGCGTAGTATTTTTTTTATTGTTGATATTAATGTAAGTTGATATCAAACATTAATTAACTGTCGGATGTTTTGTATCAGTGCTTTAGTAAAAAGACCTGCTCATGTAACGTTCTGTCTTTGTAGCTTCAGTGAAATTGTTATAAGAACAACAACATTATCATAAATGTGTTGGGTTATGACTTCAATAAAACACGAAAATCCAAATAGAATTGCAACAAAATTGTATTTACAAGTACAAGGTAAAAAAAAATAAAAAAATGCAATGCGATTGTCGGGAAGTTTTTGTTTACAAAAATCAGGATGTTGGATGATTAATATTTATTCAATGCGTCCATGATGCGGCGAAGGAGGGCCTTTCGGTCCATCTTTGGCCTCCTTGATGGTTTAACTGGTTTTCCAGTCCGTTGTGGTCCTCCGGTGCGCATTGGTTTCCCAGTAGGCTTGAATCCTCCTGGTCCGCCAGTTCGCTTTGGTCCCCCAGTGCGTTTTGGCTCCCCAGTAGGCCTGAATCTACGTTTGTCGGTGAATCCTTCTGGTTCCCCGGTTTGCTTTGGTTCCTTAGTCCGTTTTGGCTCTCCAGTTGGTTTTGGTCCCCCTTTGCGCATTGGTCCTTTAGTAGGTTTTGGCCCACCAAACATTCTGTCTTTGATATCCACCAAATCATTTTGACTGCTTTTAAAGCCTATAATGAAAGAAATGTTTACATGCATAACAATAACTTAAAAACAAGCAACTTTTACATACAAATATTCACATACAAACATGTCTACACTGACTCCCAAATCCTTTAAAACGTGTTCTAAAATCTGATCTTAAACTATGAACATTCTCACATTCTTCGAATAATGAACGTAGAACTACATTCACGATTGTTTGGCAATAGCTAACTAGTAATAGTATCTGTGTACCAGTACTCGCTCTCATGATAAATCACCTCTGATAAAGCAATCACAAAGGGCGAAAGTTAAACGTCGGCAAACATTTACCCATCAGCCAAATTTGATAAAATAATACTGTAAACGTACTCGTTTTAGCGGTGTTCTCATTTAAGCGGCTTTGCGCTACATCTCGTTACTAATTCATACCCACCGCTAAAACTCATCCGATGCAGCGCAGGACAATCTAACCATAAAATGCAAGATTTCACGGCACCGCAAATGACATCTCGACTGTATACAAATATATATTTTATTATAATATACTCAGCAGATTAATCTTGCTCGCTTTCCTATGCCCCCCCCCCCATAATTTGGTTGTATACCTATAGTATGATAGTATGATAGTCTGTAGCAAAACACAAAACACTAATGCATGGAATTTAGTTCGACGATTCCGCTAATTTAAGAATTCACTATAAAGCCTGACCTTTTCTTTCCGCTGAAATTTGTGTACGTTTATATAAGAACGCTTACAGTATCTATATACCTTATAAAGGCGCGTGTTGATGAAGTCAGTCTTTGTTTGAAGTTCTTTGTCTTTTTAATACGCCGTTTTTCCTCGATATTTGTCTTTGACTTACCATCTTTCTCGACACGCTTCGCGAATTTGTCGGCCCATTTTTTAAGATGTCCCATCTCAATTGCTGCCTGTTCCAGCTTCTCGACACGGTCTGCAAGTCCAGCAGTATTCAGGTCGTTATCTATAACACAGCATATGTGTATTGCTATGGTATGTTGTTATTGTTATCTATACAAAAAAGCAAGACAAATTTTATCTTTAAAATATAACAAGGTTAATATTATGAATAGTTTTTAACACGACCAATACAATTTTCTATGTGGCGTTTCGATGACTTGTACGATATGTACACTGTCACCTTCATCAGACACATCAACATCGATTTGTGAACAACTCGTACACATCTGACACATTTGTGTACACACGCTTCATTGGTCATTTGTCTGACAAACGAATTCATAATTAGGAATCAATAAATCGGCATCAATATAACGAAACTCTAAAGGTATTTAGTTCGAAGGGCTCCATAGTGGGGTTTCAGTGGTTATTTACAAGTATTTAATTAGAAGGGCTCCATTTTGGGGTTTCAGTGGTTAGTTACAAGTATTTAATTAGAAGGGCTCCAATGTGTGGTTTCAGTGGTTATTTACAAGTATTTAATTAGAAGGGCTCCATTGTGGGGTTTCAGTGGTTAGTTACAAGTATTTAGTTCGAAGGGCTCCATAGTGGGGTTTCAGTGGTTATTTACAAGTATTTAATTAGAAGGGCTCCATTTTGGGGTTTCAGTGGTTAGTTACAAGTATTTAATTAGAAGGGCTCCAATGTGTGGTTTCAGTGGTTATTTACAAGTATTTAATTAGAAGGGCTCCATTGTGGGGTTTCAGTGGTTAGTTACAAGTATTTAATTAGAAGGGCTCCATAGTGGGGTTTCAGTGGTTATTTACAAGTATTTAATTAGAAGGGCTCCATTTTGGGGTTTCAGTGGTTAGTTACAAGTATTTAATTAGAAGGGCTCCAATGTGTGGTTTCAGTGGTTATTTACAAGTATTTAATTAGAAGGGCTCCATTGTGGGGTTTCAGTGGTTAGTTACAAGTATTTAATTAGAAGGGCTCCATAGTGGGGTTTCAGTGGTTATTTACAAGTATTTAATTAGAAGGGCTCCATTTTGGGGTTTCAGTGGTTAGTTACAAGTATTTAATTAGAAGGGCTCCAATGTGTGGTTTCAGTGGTTATTTACAGGTATTTAATTAGAAGGGCTCCATTGTGGGGTTTCAGTGGTTAGTTACAAGTATTTAATTAGAAGGGGTCCATTGTGAAGTTTCAGTGGTTAATTACAAGTATTTTATTAGAGGAGCTCCATAGTGGGGTTGCAGTGGTTAGTTACAAGTATTTTTTATTAGAAGAGCTCCATAGTGGGGTTGCAGTGGTTAGTTACAAGTATTTTATTAGAAGGGCTCCATTGTGGGGTTTCAGTGGTTAGTTACAAGTGTTTAATTATAAGAGCCCTATTGTGGGGTTTCACTGGTTAGTTACAAGTATTTTATTCGAAGGGCTCCATAGTGGGGTTACAGTGGTTAGTTACAAGCATTTAATTAGAAGGGCTCCATAGTGGGGTTTCAGTTGTTAGTTACAAGTGTTTAATTAGAAGGGCTCCAATGTGAGGTTTCAGTGATAAGTTACAAGTATTTAATTAGAAGTTCTCCATTGTGTGGTTTCAGTGGTTAGTTACAAGTATTTAATTAGAAGAGCCCTATTGTTGGGTTTCAGTGGTTAGTTACAAGTGTTTCATTAGAAGGGCTCCATTGTGGGGTTTCAGTGGTTAGTTACAAGTGTTTAATTAGAAGAGCTCCATTGTGGGATTTCCGTGGTTAGTTACAAGTATTTAATTAGAAGAGCCCTATTGTGGGGTTTCAGTGGCTAGTTACAAGTATTTAATTAGAAGAGCCCTATTATGGGGTTTCAGTGGTTAGTTACAAATATTCAATTAGAAGAGCCCTATTGTGGGGTTTCAGTGGTTAGTTACAAGTATTTAATTAGGAGAGCTCCATTGTGGAGTTTCAGTGGTTAGTTACAAGTGTTTTATTAGAAGAGCTCCAATGTGGGGTTACAGTGGTTAGTTACAAGTATTTAATTAGAAGGGCTCCATTGTGGAGTTTCAGTGGTTAGTTACAAGTGTTTAATTAGAAGAGCTCCATTATGGAGTTACAGTGGTTAGTTGCAAGTATTATATTAGAAGGGCTCCATAGTGGGGTTGCATTGGTTGGTTACAAGTATTTTATTAGAAGGGCTCCATTGTGGGATTTCAGTGGTTAGTTACAAGTGTTTAATTAGAAGAGCCCTATTGTGGGGTTTCAGTGGTTAGTTACAAGTATTTAATTAGAAGGGCTCCATTGTGGGGTTTCAGTGGTTAGTTACAAGTATTTAATTAGAAGGGCTCCATAGTGGGGTTTCAGTTGTTAGTTACAAGTGTTTAATTAGAAGGGCTCCAATGGGAGGTTTCAGTGATAAGTTACAAGTATTTAATTAGAAGTTCTCCATTGTGTGGTTTCAGTGGTTAGTTACAAGTATTCAATTAGAAGAGCCTTATTGTGGGGTTTCAGTGGTTAGTTACAAGTATTTAATTAGAAGAGCCCTATTGTGGGGTTTCAGTGATTAGTTACAAGTATTTAATTAGAAGGACTCCAATGTGGGGTTTCAGTGGTTAGTTGCAAGTATTTAATTAGAAGGGCTCCAATGTGTGGTTTCAGTGGTTATTTACAAGTATTTAATTAGAAGGGCTCCATAGTGGGGTTACAGTGGTTAGTTACAAGTATTCAATTAGAAGAGCCCTATTGTGGGGTTTCAGTGGTTAGTTACAAGTATTTAAGTAGAAGAGCTCCAATGTGGGGTTATAGTGGTAAGTTACAAGTATTTAATTAGAAGGGCTCCATTGTGGGGTTTCAGTGGTTAGTTTAAAGTATTTAATTAGAAAAGCTGTCATTGAGGAGTTTGAGTGGTTAGTTTCAAGAATAAATAAGAAAAGCTTCATTGTGGGGTTTCAGTGGTCAGTTAAAAAAAAGTATTTAATTAGAAGGGCTCCAATGTGGGGTTTCAGTGGTAAGTTACAAGTATTTAATTAGAAGGGCTCCATTGTGGGATTTCAGTAGCTAGCTACAAGTATTTCATTATAATGGCTCCATTGTGGGGTTTCAGTGGTAAGTTACAAGTGTTTCATTAGAATATTTCCATTGTGAAGTTTTAGTTGTTAATTACAGGTATTACATTAGAAGGGCTCCATTGTTGGGTTTCAGTTGTTAGTTGTACTTACCATCTACATCTTCCAAGTTGACGAGCTCAATCATGACCTCAAGGCCAGTGGCTCCACAGACAAGTACCTGGCGGAAAACTTCGTTCAGGAAATCCTTAGGTTTGGAATAAGCGTCAAAGTTGGTATTCTTTGCCACTTTAAAGAGAAAACATGCACATTTTGTTTAATGTGAATTCGTGCTAGTGGTTGTAATTATATTTAACATATAGTGTTAACTCTGTGTCTTATTTTGTTAAAAAAACGTAATACAACGTTCAATATGTCAAACAAAAAGGCGTGTTAACTGTAACATGTAACACATTTTATATTTAAAATGTTTATGTTTATGTTGATAAGATAAAAGAATAAAGAAGTGTGTGTGTGTGTGCGTGTGTGTGTGTGTGTGTGTGTTACCGGAAACACCTCTTTTGTTTGGCCTTTTAATGTTTGAATGTACTGCTATAATTGATAACTTTTGGGAAAAGGCTTTACATAAGTTGGACAACTTGTGCCAAATGCTTTTGTATATTAGATGCAAATAAAAAAAAATATGTTTAAATAAAATTGATAGCTTATGTTCGAGCGAACGTATTCAAAATATCCACCTTCCTTGCAGTCTTCGAGGAAAAGTGAGTCCTTATCATCTGCAAGAGCTGAAATTAAAGGGAAAGTGTCATGATATTATGTTTATATGAAAAGGACGAAAATGAATGGGGATTTGAAGATAATATTAGTTTAACGCATTTTACTTTAGATAAGCATAAAAACGTTGAGCAAATTAGCATTTAGATATAATGTTTTCGTCTTTATGAAGAGTTGAAAACTCGTTTAGTAGCAATGCGTTTTCGATTGAGTAAGCTTAAAAAACAACGTACGAGGAAGCTTAGCCATCATTTCCTTTTCCTTCTTGTCATCTGTATCCAGTTCCTTCTCGAGGGCTTTGAATTCGGCTGTTGGTTTAAGATCATCACCCAGAGCTCCTATAAAAGGACAATCGTTTATAACTTTAATTGAGTAAGGTCATATTCATGAAATTTCCAAATTTATAAGCGTCATATTCATGAACCATAAAAGACTTCTCTATTTATAGTAAATGTAGTCAATTACAAGTACGAAAACCTTTACACTATCGTTTTTCCACAGCTGAAAGATATCGGCAATTACATGTTTCGTAATTAATTATGTTCATAAAATATACTTACCATTCAGTTCAATCATTTTGTTAATTGTTTCGAGAGCATCTTCCAGTGTTTCCTGCATATCTGCTGCCCCTTCACGAATTTCTTGTGGATCACCATTGGCAATGGCTGTAGATAGAATTATTGAATATGGCTAACAGCATTGAGGTGAGAACAGTTTTCTGTAAAGCTCTACATGCCAAACAATTAATATAAAGGTTGTTACTGAGCTATTTAATTTGTTTAAGTACAATCATCATCGTTTATCGTTTGCTTACACCGATATCAGTGAACGCACAATTCGCAGTAACACTAAGACTGGCTGATATGTCATTAGCATCGTGAGGCAGCATGTAAGATAAGAATTTAGCATGGTTGTTTGTACGTTACAGCATCTGTACCACAGCAAATTATTGATATAGTTATTAGAAGGTCCTTTATTTAGGATAAACAACGTGTATTAGACAATTACCTTCCATTATCTCTTCTTTTGACTACAAAAGAAAATGTATAGGTACAGAAGGTATCATGGCAAAAATGATCTGTTCTAGCAACATCATGTTCTAATTAAAACCATTTTTGATGAACTGTCAATACGGGTATTTTAAAACTGTGTTTTCGATTCATCTTGTTACTTAATATGTCTATAGTGGTGGTGACAAACACGAATTAATTATTGCAATACTGTGAAGTGCGAACGCATCACTAATGCATCCAAGCTTTATACTATTAAATGTACACGAAATACTACGTGGAAAAGCTGTTCTGATAAGTTTAAACACCATACTTCTGGAGCACAATACTTTTACTTGGTTGCAATACTATTGCATGGGAATAACATTTATTGAGAGTGCTGCAATAGTATAAAGGATGAACGTTATACTACTGCTTGGGAGCTTGAAACTATTAGGAGCTCAATACTATCAAGCTTGAACGTAATAATACTGCTTGAGAGCTGGATACTATTAGGAGCTCAATACTATAAAGCTTGAACGTAATGCTACTGCTTGAGAGCTTGATACTATTAGGAGCTCAATACTACCCAACTTAAACGTAATGCTACTGATTGAGGGCTTGATACTATAAGGAGCTCAATACTACCCAACTTGAACGTAATGCTACTGATTGAGGGCTTGATACTATAAGTAGCTCAATAGTACCCAGCTTGAACGTTATGCTACTTTGTGAGAGCTGGATACTATTCGGAGCTCAATACTACCCAACTTAAACGTAATGCTACTGCTTGAGAGCTTTATATTATTAGGAGCTCAATACTATAAAGCTTGAACGTAATACTACTGCTTGAGAGCTAGATACTATTAGGAGCTCAATACTTTCAGGCTTGAACGTAATACTACTGCTTGAGAGCTTTATATTATTAGGAGCTCAATAGTACCCATCTTGAACGTAATGCTGCTGCTTGAGAGCTTGATACTATTAGGAGCTCAATACTACCCAGCTTGAACGTTATGCTACTTTTTGAGAGCTGGATACTATTAGGAGCTCAATATAATCAAAATTGAACGTAATACCACTGCCTGAGAACCGAAATTCTATTATTAGTGTCGCCATTGTGCCTGTATGGCACATAGCTGCTTTTTAAACACATTGATAGGATTTATGTGTTCTTGTATTTAATAATAATTAAGATTTAATACATCACACGTTGTTCGTTCAGTTAACTTACCGAAGGCGTACGTTTTCCAAAATCAAAAGACCTGTCCATATCTGAGAAAGGAAAAAAAGGAGAGTTGTGCGGAAGGAAGTAATAGAGTCATTATAATAAGTATTATTATAAGTATTATTCAAACGCGGGAAATCTTGCTTATAATAATTTATTGTTCATCAACTTCTATCACGTATCTTGCCCGATTTGAACTTTTGATTTCTCGTTTTCCCGGATTAAATTGTTTTGAATGAATATAAATGTATATAAGCACAGTCAATGATGCATGAACTTGATATAAAACTCGCCATAAGGGAATCACATGAAGTTGTTTATATTTTGAAATTTTAAGCTTTGACTAAAACTTACTTAGATTGGCGAATAATAGTAAATTGAAATGAAATACAAATATCTTACTTACCTCCATTTTCTGCCTTCTTGATGAGCCCAAGAACCCATGCACCGAGATGACCCATCTCTAAGAAGGTAGCTTCTATTATATCCAGACGGTCAGCCAAACCGGAAACAGTCAGATCAGCGTCTAAAAATCAAACATTCCTTTTGAGGTGAATCAGTCAGTCCATACAACAATAATTTATCTAAGAAAAAATGAGACATGGTACCCCTTTGAGAATGGGTTATTTGTATACGTGAAAAAAGGACACACTCGACTCACCGGTCACAGAGGACAGATCAAGCAAATGGGAAATGATGCCCATTCCGTTTCCGGCACAGTTGAACACCTGGCGAGTGAGTGCTGTCAGTTGCTCCTTGTCGCTGCTCATACCTTGAAAATCAGTGGCTTCGGCAGCTGAAACATAGCGAATCATCAGAAACAATGGATGACTATCGATTCATACAAATATAAGCTAAATTATTTTTTTCCACGGTGGGTGAATATGAAATAGCTATTTTTAAAGAATTAAGCATCGAATGATTTATTCGCGAGGAATATAAGTTGAAAATTGGATACTACTGAGTTATATTCTGTTTTGTAATGATGAGCTTGGCCAAATTCACGCTATATGTTACATTAGTATAATAGTTAGCGGCCGATTTTTCTTGCAAATTAGNTGTTTTGTAATGATGAGCTCGGCCAAATTCACGCTATATGTTACATTAGTATAAAAGTTAGCGGCCGATTTTCCTTGCAAATTAACGCGAAAGTAGATGCATGATTTCACAAAATGTAAATGCGTAATAGAAATATGGATTTAAACATGGATTCCACTTGACCCAATGCAACTCACTTATGTTTAATATCTTCACTTGTTAATTCAAGAAAATAATTAAATGTCAAGATTCAAAGATTCGTAAGTGATTTAGTCATCGTTATTTTTACTAATTTTCATTTTGCAAATGCAAATACTGTCGACATTCTTTTGCACAAAGGCGACGCCTTTCACTTTATACGTACTATGATTGAGCGCTAATTGATATATGAAATGCTGGATTTAGTGATAACAAGTTAAGAAACTATCATAAATTGCGCTTTCGAAATAGCGCAAAATACGCTAGGTATTATTACCGCAAAAATACATTAACAGTTATCTCTAATAAAATACTTAATCGTTAAATTGGAAATTCACAAAACTGTGATTGACAGTTCATTGTAATATATCACAAAAATCCAATGCTTATTCATACTTACTTTTAATGCATTTATGGAGGAAAACCAATTCCTTTTCCTTTGGAAGCGCTGCAATACATTACATGAAATATTACGGATACTTTGAGAAGATGATGGGGTATTCAAGATATCAATTTTAACCAGAGGAAAGTTTTGCTGCATTCTAATTTTCGCCTTTTTCGCCCTACATCACAACGAGGGCGAATTTATCATTAAAGCTAACATATATTACAACGTAATAAACATAGTTATTGATTGTGAAGAGCAAATGTTTCATTGGGCAAAAACGGATATTACTGTCAAAGGGCGAAAATTTGACTGTGCGAAGATGTAGGCGTATATGTATTTTCTTGTTTATGGGGATATTGCTGTGATAATTCACTACTTCATATAATACTTTTTTATCTTTTGCATGGAATTCATCAGAATATGTGTTATGAATATCTTAGATATTACTATTTGGAAATGTTAGATACATGCTGAGAACAGGTCATCGAGAAATAAACTGTTGTAGAATTGTGATATATACGACATTTGATCAATCAGAATTAACATAGAAGTGATCTGTCATCGCACTAAACATGACCTCAACATAACGAAGTTTTATTGCATGCTTGTGGAAATATTTCCTTTAAATATAAAGTCGTTATCTTGACTCACGTGGGAGATTGTCGACCAAAGGACTGACGTGCTCATCAAGTAAATCGATAGCTGTCTGCAGCTCTGGAATAGGGTTCAGGTCGTCGTCAAAGAGATCTACAACACAATATAGAAGTATTACAGCAAGGTAAGTGTGATTAAAGTCATACTAGTTATCTTCAATTTAGATGTTGTTTATCAGTCATATAGCACAACCAGCAAAGTGGTTATGTATGACGTATCGATTACTAGTACGATATGTACTCTGTCACCTTCATCTGGCAGAGTTTGTGACGGCGACAGAGGACTAATACTAATAGTCATTGAAACTTCAGACTTAATTTTGTTGTTGTTTTTGCTATATGAACCCGTTTACAGCATGTTCGTACCGAAGTGAAGAAAATGTTAAAAACTGTCCAGATATTGAGATTATACAAAGTATTTAGATACCAATCAATAGGTTTCTCAACATTTTCTTCAAGCTGGTAAGTATGGATTGTGAAAAGATTCATGTAGTACAACCAAACAGTGTTTATATGTGACGTTTCGATGACTAATACGGTATGTGCTCTGTCACCTTCATCAGACAAATGACTAGTGAAGCGTAGGCAAACACAGGTGTAAAACATGTAAGAGTTGTCCACAAATAAATGTCGATTAAACAAAGCGTAGCTGAATGGGTCACTACGGTACATATATCAAACTAAATGTACATACACTTACAGCGTAGCCGAATCGACATCGAGTTGTGGACAACTCGTACATATTTCACACTTTTGTGTGCAAACGCTTCACTAGTCATTTGTCTGATGAAGGTGACAGAGTACATACCGTATTAGTCATCGAAACGTCACATATAAACACTTTTTGGTTGTGTAACATGAATCTTTTCACAATCCATATATTACCAACATGAAGAAAATGTTTAGAATTAAACATTGCTAGTTTTGCTATATGAACCCGTATAAATCTTTACATACCAAAGTGAAGAAATTTTCTAAATACTGACATTATACAAAGTACCAATCAATATGCTTCCTGTTATATAAATGTATGTTATGTACGATCATATGTCTATATATTAAGAATGTACAAACCTCCAGCTTCTACAATTTTAGCTCCCTCTGCAATGACTCCATCAATCCAGCCTTTGATCTCGCCGACCATGTTTCTGATTTCATCAGGGCCATTCTCATTCAAAACTACAATAAAAAATATCGTATTACTAGAAGACATTCAAAGATGAAATGTAAAATTTAGCAATCTTTTTGCAAATCATTTTTATGTAACAAATATTAACAAACAACATGTGATGATGCAAAATAAAAAGAGATTTCGTCACATTTACGACATTATATACATCTCTGGGTACAACCGCTGACAATGCTAACAATTTTTAAGTTTAGATAATTAAGAAAGTATAATAATTCAACATTCCGAAGTTAGGCGTTAGAAATTGTCTAGATTTACTTACAGTCTTCTACATCACCTCTGCTCTGTAAAAGAAAAACAAAGTTTATCACCTGATGTAATGTTAATGATTTTATCACTTGATATTTCATATTTAAGAAATTTGGATTACAAGAATATCATATATTTCAAACAATGACTTCAAATAGGAAGGAAGAAGCAACCCTTAAACAAAGACCAATGTCAGTGCGGAAAGACAAAGGTAGTGAACCTCTTTATTCTGTAATGTATTGCCATTTTGTCCGTTAAGGAATCAAGAGCGGCACTAAAGATCACTAGATGATATTTTGTCTATATCTCAAATGTTCTCAATCTTACGTAGACCTATGGCGTAAGAGGAAGGATGCCTTCAACATCTTTAATAACGTTAGTCCAAAAATGTGTGTTTCAGATATCCCGAACTTCCCTAGATTTCCCAGCCGACCAAAGAACATTTTATAATAAAATAATAATAATGATATGCAACATTTGTGCAAAACTACTCTTAATGCGCTATATCGACCTGCAGATGACGTCTGCGCGAAAAGCCTTAAATACAGACGTAAAAAGGTAGGTCTTTATATCCTTTATTGCATTTCCTGGTATTAGATGGTAAATTATTCCACAAATTGGACGAAACCTTTCCAAACCAATGCTGCCATAGGTCACACTACGATATTTTGGGACACACAAATTATACGCCTACTGACCTACCCTACTTTTTCTGGTATGTTACCTGAAACACATATAATGTTTGTTTTGGCCTACAACAGGTTATGTATTCCCAAATCATTATTTGATGTTAGTCGTGTCATGTCGTCTCTGACTCGCAGCGATCCAACTCTTTTATGTAAGCATAAACCAGCATAGACATTGTCGTCTTATTTCAATTAACACTATATTAGTGTATATTATGTCAATTTGTACATTACACTTGTAGTGCTTTAACCCTCCGACAATATATAGCAACACCGGTGTGATATGCAGATGTTCACTATTATCTCATTACATCATTTTTAGTATAGTACTTTAAATTAAGTGCCTTAGATATCTATTTATATGCTGTTATACTATTGTATGTTTTACTCGCTGATTATGTGCTAGCTTTCTGTGATAGTGTATAGCTTGTTTGTTGTTTTCTGTTTGCGTTTTATCATGTTTGTCGCAAAAAAGCGTTACAGCGCTAATGTATCTCTGTTGATATATGCGACGTTAAACAAAGTTTCTTGTATCTTGTTTGCTAGACTTGCATCATTAAGCCTAACTGAAGCAGACGGATTGAGTACTAGATATCACGGCTTCATCTAAGCTACAAGTCATTGATTACCTTTGTTAAATAATCCCGAGAAACAGTTTCTGAGCATAGAGGTAAAATCCAAATTTATGTTTAGAAATATTCTTTTTTTAAATGGAATCAAAAACTACAGTAGAAAAGATATTAGGGAAACTCATGTTTTAACATTTCATATATCAACTAGATTTTTTTTCCAGTATTAACAAATTTGTGTGAGCAATAAATATATTATATATATACCTTTAATTCATTTATCCCTTTCCCGTTTATAACTTAAGGTAAAACCATTTTGACATAATTGTAAGTTTTATAATCGGTCACATTTATTTTAACTAAGAATAATACATTTTTTTTAGGAAATTCCATTTTATCACGAAAACAGCCTGACTGTTACTTTTTTTTAAAATGTTCTTTTGTTAAAGACCTATTAAAACTTTTTTTCTGAATTTGCTCATTGCTTTAATGAATAGGATGTATGATTTTCCCCCTCAAATTTATCATAAAATAAACTATGAATAGATGTATATAAAGAAATCACAACTACATCATGTGTATTCTAAAAAATACCTGTACATTACGTTTATGCTTATAAATTCACAACTATTATTTAACATTCGATATACAATTATTTCATTAATCTTTATTAAAGTATACAGGTATAATTAAAAAGATATCATGTGACAAATAGATTTATATTTTTATTGTCTAGTTAAGAAATAGAAAAAATAATTATTTTCAAGTCCTTAACCTTTTTTTGTCCTGTTTGCAATATCACAATAGTTACTAATGTGCACTAATAAAATTTAATGTATAAAAAGATGCATGAGTTAGAACAATATTGTTTTGCGTAGAAAAAAAAACTAAGAATGTTTTATACGAATTTGATTTGCGATGTAAAAACCAATAATTTGTATTAGAACTTCATTGAAACCGCTGAACCATTTCTCTGTCAGCATCCTTGTGAAATTTAAAAAAAATAAAGATGCATGAAACATTAAGTGAATGATTAAAAACTTACCCGTTTGAGCAATGCCTTGGCATTGCAAACGCAGATTACCGCCACTAGCACGAGGAAAACCTTCATCTTGCTCGACCAGGTCCTTCTGATACTTAGGGTCCGGACACTCTCATTTTATACTGAAAGCTGCGTGATTAGGGAATTAGGACGGTTCGAAAGCGTCAAAAGCGGTTGTTAAATACTTAAACACACTTTGTCATGCTAAAACATCTCTTCTGTCGACGTTAGGACCGGTTTACAAAAGAGAAGGTAATTTCTGATCTATCGTAGGGATATATTCGGGATTGTGGTACTAAGTAAAATTGTTCACTGTGTCGTTTCAATCAATATTGATACCATTCATACTGGATAAACTATGCAACGACCCGGCAAATAATAAAGACGGTTGATGTGGGTTTAGGGGGTTGTGTTTTCTTTCTACCTTAAGATTTGACGTCAAATATAGTGCGATTTTAAATAACTTAGAGTATGCACGTCATAGTAAACAGTTTTTAATATAGCTCCATGGTTTGATTTTAGTTGCTTTCTCTTCATACTTGGTCTAGTTAAAGCTTGTATATGAAAAAAATTAAAATGTGTGACCAAAGGTGTATTTTGGTGCTCGGTCTTTATAAATAGCCTCGAACATGACTTGATGAAACAGGCTCTTTTTCAACAAATTATTTTGTTCGTTTCTTCTTTATAATTTATATTTCCTACCAAATGCAAATGATATGTAATTAGTTATAATATGTGTGTTTAACTAGATTACGCAACCAAAGTGTAATTTTGGTGCCATACTAATATTTGTCAAAGAGGTTGATAACACAATGTAGAAACTACTTTATTTTATAAGGTTGCAAACATTGTTCTCCTAAACAGTTGAAATATCAGAACTTTGTGCGTGTTGACGCTGTGATATACTTTGGCTTTTGTTTTGATGTTTTGGTATATTTGACCATGTGTGTTTACTGTGGTATATTTGACCACGTGTGTTGACGCTGTGGTATTTTTATTCTTGTGTGTTGACACTGTGGTTTATTTTGTCTTTGTGTGTTGATGTTTTGGTATATTTGACCACGTGTGTGTTGATGCTGTGGTATTTTTTATCCATGTGTGTTGACACTGTGGTATATTTTGTCTTTGTGTGTTGATGCTGTGGTTTATTTTGTCTTTGTTTGTTGACACTGTGGTTTATTTTGTCTTTGTGTGTTGACACTGTGGTATATTTTGTCTTCGTGTGTTGATGCTGTGGTATTTATTGTCTTTGTGGGTTGACACTGTGGCTTGTTTTGTCTTTGTGTGTTGACGCTGTGGTATATATTGTCTTTGTGTGTTGACACTGTGGTATATTTTGTCTTCGTGTGTTGATGCTGTGGTATTTATTGTCTTTGTGTGTTGACGCTGTGGTATATTTTGTCATTTGTGTTGATGTTGTGGTATATTTGGTCTTGTGCGCTGTGGTATATTTTGTCTTTGTGTGTTGATGCTGTTGTGTTTTTTGTCCTTGTGTGTTGATGCTGTGGTATCTTTTATCCTTGTGTGTTGACACTGTTGTATATTTTGTCCTTGTGTGTTGATACTGTGGTATATTTTGTCCTTGTGTGTTGACACTGTGATTTATTTTGTCTTTGTGTGTTTACTGTGGTATATTTTGTCTTTGTGTGTTGTCGCTGTGGTAAATATTGTCTTTGTGTGTTGACACTGTGGTATATTTTGTCTTTGTGTGTTGACGCTGTGGTATATATTGTCTTTGTGTGTTGACACTGTGGTATATTTTGTCTTTGTGTGTTGATGCTGTGGTATTTATTGTCTTTGTGTGTTGACACTGTGGTTTATTTTGTCTTTGTGTGTTGACGCTGTGGTATATATTGTCTTTGTGTGTTGACACTGTGGTATATTTTGTCTTTGTGTGTTGATGCTGTGGTATTTATTGTCTTTGTGTGTTGACACTGTGGTTTATTTTGTCTTTGTGTGTTGACGCTGTGGTATATATTGTCTTTGTGTGTTGACACTGTGGTATATTTTGTCTTTGTGTGTTGATGCTGTGGTATTTATTGTCTTTGTGTGTTGACACTGTGGTATATTTTGTTTTTGTGTGTTGATGCTGTGATATATTTTGTCTTTGTGTGTTGACGCTGTGGTATATTATGTCATATGTGGTACGTTTTGTATTTGTATATTGATGTTGAAGGAAGTGATTTGTTTCTTTTGTATTGATGCTCTGGTATATTTTGTCTTCGTGTGTTGATATTGTTTGTGTATTTTGTCTTTGTGCGTCGATGTTGTGGTATATTTTGTCTGTGTGTGTTGACACTGTGGTATATTTTGTCCTTGCATGGTAAGTGTAAGTATATAATCATAAACTACAGTAGTTTGTTTTACTGTTTTGATTAGATAACGTGCTATATTTTTTCAAAATATCAAAAACGTTCTGGACCCGTTTTCTTGAAACCTTCCTCGTGTTCTCCTTTAAATTCTTCCAAATCATTGACAAAACTGACATTTTTTTAAAACAAGAAACTCGGCGCGAGCGCAGAATGTGAAGTTCAAGTATGAGAACGGTCTCACGAATATGGCCCAGGACCCGTAAACATCACTTACTAGGTTCTTATCTCATTGTAAAGCCAAACAAATTCGGACCAGCTTTTCCAATGATGTGCAAAAAAAGAAACCTCAGTGATGCTAAATATAGATTTAATGAGCCTCAATAAACAGACAACCCAATAAGGAGCCTTGAGAAAAAGGCGATATATTTAATCAACCGTGTCTGATGGAAGGTCAAATTTATGTCCATCATGTCAAACAAGTGTTCTTTGTGAAATGTGAAAGGTCATTGAGGGCATGTCGGAGAATGTTTCCGTTGCAGGGGGCTTCGATAACAACGTACAGCCTCGCCCCGGGAGTTATTGCTGTGTTATAAATACAACAATACGACGTGTTTACATTTGATTTATCATAAAAATGAAAAAAAATCATATAACTCTAAATATGAAAATATATGCGATTCATTGACTTGATTACAAGTTGTGTTGATTTGTAGTAGTATTGCCAATCCAAACAAACCCCATCTACCAGTCGAAATTTGGAATTTAGCTTTGTTTGCTATTAAAATATGTCAAGTACATTTAAAGGTTTCCAAATACGAACACGTACAAGTTTGATTGTCCACCCACCCGCCACGTGATCACTTCCATAATTGACCGTTCCGGATGACCTTGGTACTCAGCACTGACCGGCGATGTTGACACATTGCCCTAACTAGGAGATATCCTATTTAAATATGTTGTTAGCAAAGCCTGGCTAAATCAACTTGTTTATTTCTGAACTTAAAACGTATCGTTAAATTCAGCACGTGTAACAGTGAAAATCAAACCTATTTTAGTGTTCGAATTCAAGAAACTGACAAAAAAGACATATTGTACATATTCTTGAATTACATTCAAAGCAAAATGAACCCTTTTTTTATGTGCATGCATATGCATTCCTCACATTAAAAACTGCAATACCCGTACACTATTGTATATCGTTTCAAATGCTAAGTACTTGAAATGGGAAAGCTATTTACGTTGAACTGTCGTTCATAGTCAATATAAATGCTTACTGAAATGTGACCAATTGCATAAGGTTTGTAAGTGGTTTATATTGAATATATTGACTATGAATGCCATATGAGAGCTATTAATACTCATATTAACAACTAAAACAGTTGTCTCATAGACAATTAAGTGAATATATCAAAAAAGAAGTATTTAGCACAGATAGGTTTCTATCATGAAGGCTTGTTCAATGAATGGAACAGCCATCTTCAAAAGACGGCCAGCGGTATCAAACGTTACAGTAACGACGTCATAATTACATAACAACGTACACAGATACGAAGATTGTATTCTGATTATAGGAATGCTTACATTTCCTCTGCTGTCAGCTCTGTTATATCAATAAAGGTTGGTTGATATTATTGGCGATAACATACTTTATGATTATTTTTGCAAGTCCATTGCTGATAATGTCACAGCTATGTAATTATGAGTTCGTAGATTAACAATGATCTGTACATTGTATTATATCTTGACGTCATAATATATAATATTATAATAATGACGTCATCGCGTTGGTCATGGCATTCATAGCTGATATGAATATCATCTGAACTTTTTTGTGTCTTTAGTGACAATTCCATTATCTGGTTAATATATGCATGCATAAATATTACTTCAATACAATCCATGTCTTTGCTGTTGTTTTTTGATATTTATTCCCGGAAAGCAGCTTTGCACCTGAACCAAACTTGCCAGGGTATTTAATAGGATTATGTATGTCACAGATAGTATACTTCGTCAACATCACATAGTATGTCTATTATGATGTTATCCTTATGCAAAAGACAATAGCTGAAAGCTGTGTACCGGAAATAAAGTCATGTTAGATTTATCAAATTTTCCAACTATGAAATACAAACTTTTTGATTAGAATAAAATTTAAGCAAAACCGCTAAAATTGATATTTAGTAACGGGTTTCTCCATTTTCTTGGCGATGCAAAAACTATTTCTCCGCTGGTGGTTTTGAGAATATGGACAGTACACAATTTATCTTTCAGTTTGTGTAATGTCTTGTTTTGCTTCCTCAAGGTTATAATGATTGTCGCAATTCTGCAAAAATAAGTAAATGCTCGAAACAATTTGGTGATTGTTCCTTTTCCTCCCTTATGATGGAAACGCTCTGGGAAAGAATTTATTCCTTTTATGGAAAATGCCCTTCATTTTATAACCGGTATTTACTCTCATTTGTTGTTGTTCCAGATAGCGACCTAATAATCTTCGGATTTGATCATTACATAAGTGTCGTTTCATGAACCGCTACACGAGACATGTGGTTATGTTGGGGATTACCCTGGCAGGGAGCGTGAAAAGAACTGTATACAGAAAGTAACTCAGAAACAGCAGCCGCAAACAATCTCACAACGAGAGTATGTAATAGCGCTAGTATGGTGTGTACGTGTATCTATACCACTAACGCAGGTGCGACCTTGCCGATGGTAAGTAAAGTTATTCTGATAACATTGGTTCTTCGTATGTAAGTATTTATTCAACAGATCATACATGAA